AACCCTGTCATTCAACCACCTACACACTCACAACCATCACACCTAACATTATATAAATTAAAGTAAATTGCTGGTTAATGTAAAAAAGAAAACGAACATTATTGGCATACGATGTCTCACCAGACTGTTTACCTGTTCAAGGACAATATGTGCCATGACCTTTGCAAATAAACATCATACAAATGTTAACAAACAGTAACTTCTATCACTTCTATCAAGTGTGTTTCCAGCAAAATGTTCTTCTGGAAAGATTCTTCCAGGCACATTGCCTGATGAGATGAGTGTATAAATGAATGTTCCAGCTGGTCTCGGTGCACATTACTCTATATACTAACTCCAGAACATGTAAAGCCATTAATTTGCATTCCCTCTTAGTAACTGGTGTTTACTGCATTTTTTAATATAACACAAGTTGGAATACAACACTGTAAGCCACTAAATGGTTTTAAGGGTTGACATGTGACATGAGGTGTTTCTTGACAGTCAAGCACTGAATGAGATCGATCTGCTTTAGCTTCATTTTCTCTCCAAGTGGCGTTTTTGGTCCTGCACCATTGCATGGTGACGTTTTTGTTCATTTCCATGCCAGTGCACTGCCTATTTTTATCAAACAATCTGTTCTAACATTGCATGAACTTTGTATTTCTAATACAATTACAGTACAACTGTTGGCTACCATAAAACACAGGTACTGTACTGTTGTTTTTTGTCAGATTTAAATCCCCTTTATTCTAAGGGTATGGCTTGATCCATATGACAATACACTGGTACTGTAAAATCAGGGTATTCTAATATTATATTATATTATATTATTTCAGGAACACATAAAGTAGAACAGAGTGGATTACCAAGGAAAGCAAAGTTTTCTACCATACTGACATGGAGCACAATAAGATTTATTTCCAGTGTCTATTTCAAGCACAAAACAGTCAGCCCCAATGCTTAACTGTTCACTCGTCATATGTAAGGCTCATGGTCTGCTGTTTCACTGACACTTGGAACTGGTGGCAGATTTCAGGAGGGAAAAGGTCAAACCTACTCCTGTCTACATCCATGGGAGTGGCGTGGAGATGGTGGGCTCGTACAAGTACCTGGGAGTGCACATCGACGATAGACTGGAATGGTCTAAGAACATCAAGGCCATCTACAAAAAGAGTCAGAGCCAACTTTACTTCTTGAGGAGTCTCAGGTCCTTCAATGTATGTAGTAAGATGCTACATATGTTCTATCAATCGGTGGTGGCGAGCGCCATTTTCTATGCAGTGGTATGCTGGGGCTCTGGGATTAGAGCAGTGGATTCTAACAGGCTGAACAAGCTCATCAGAAGAGCAAGCTCTGTCATTGGGTCTGGCCTGGACCCCCTGGCTGAGGTAGTGGCTGAGAGGAGAATGCCGTCCAAATTAGAGGCCATCATGGACAACATCTCCCATCCCCTCTATGACATGCTTGTAGAAATGAAGAGCACGTTCAGCAATAGGCTGATCCATCCACGGTGCGACAGGGAGCACTACCGGAGTTCATTCTTGCCTTCTGCCATAAGATTGTACAACGCATCCACCCTGCGTCTGGGCAGAGGCAACATTGACAGTGACCTGTTTCTTGTCTGAACAGTAAACTGATCTGTTCTTTTTCTTTTCCCGTTTACAACCATTTTTGTGCAATATATGCCAGGGACCTGTGCAATACATTTATATTTATATTCATATTGTGCAATACGACTTTTTTGTGTACTGTTCTGTTCTGGTTTGTTCTTGTTCTGTTCAGTATACACTGTGGCTGTGTTGTCTGTGTTAAGCTACTGTTGCACTGCAATTTCCCTGAAGGGATCAATAAAGTATCTATCTACGGTCCCTTAATCTAGTTGTTCAATTACAACTAATAATTTGTTTAAATTGATTTATAACTGTCCTCCTAAACCCTAACCATATCGTTTTGAATTAACATGTACTGTATGCTTACTGACCAAAATATGAGGAACTCCTCCCCAAGAAGGCATACAAAACAGGCATTTAAAAAAAAATGCTGCACATCAACATCCTGTCTCTTGGAGAGATTGGTGTGTGGGATTGAACTGCATGTTGCACAAATTAAAGCAGCTTTTAACAGAATGATGGTGGCTTTATTATTATCTGAGCTTTTTCCTGGCCAGGAAAGGTGATGGAAACCAGTCTTGTGTTCCTAAAGCCAGTCAGGCCTGAAAATGAGTGTCTCTTTACCTGATTGAGTATGCCATTCTTTATTAGTTATATACTATAGATACTGTGACGCCTGTCTACCTGATACATATTGTTACTGGCAGCACCTCACAGCCAGTAACAGTATGTTTCACTGCAATCCCACAAATGTTTACATTTCCCCCATGTACTGTACGTCCACCTGTCAGTGCACCCTTTCCCTTTCAATCAGGTTCTCAATCATCCCATTAATCACCCTATTTAAGACCTGAAACACCACTGGAACGGTGCTCTGACGTTGAGTTACCAATGATAGTGTTATGACCAGCTGTGCTTTGAGTTATCTGCCTTTTTGTCAAGCTGAATACTGTGAATCCTGAAACACAAGTCCACCATGATGTCCTGACCATCTTTTAGCGTGAGCACCGGTCCAGTGGCATTGAGATCTTGTCAGCCTGTTCCTGTCAGCCTGTTCCCTGGGCAGTCCCATTCCTGTCAGCCTGTTCCCATCTGCCTGTTCCCCAGGTAAGCCCTAGTCCTTTATCACTGCCCTAAGTTTTATTGCCCTAATTTGTACTGTGTGGCGTGCTATTGATGGAGGTGGAGAAAGGCAGGATGGACAGGTGTGGTTCTAGAATAAATCTCAGGTGAAAGAGAGAGAGCAGGGGTCTCTCAGTACTTTCTTGGGGGGGGTGGGGGGGGTTAAGGTGGGAGAGGGGGAGCCAGAGTGAAATGAGAAAGAGGATACGAAGGGTCCATTCCAGGGGAAGCAAATTGCTTAAATACTTTCCATAACTGCCACTCAAGGAATCACATACCCAGCACCTGCCACAGAAACTAGAGCTTTTCCTATAATTATAGCACCAACACATCAACAGGTTGCTCAACCCAATATAATCAGAGTTTTTGCTGCTGTAGAATATACACTATTTGTTTGTAAGGTTAAAAATCATGGCAGTGACACAGTTGCTTGAAAAGAAATAGAATTATGGTAATTAAAAAAATCGTATTTAAACAAAAACTGACAACCATTTTAAATTGCACAATTCAGCACATGAACAGCTATTTGACATTTTGTTCAACCATAAACTCAGAAAGAAATGCCCTAAAAACCCTAAAAAAACATATTTCTCAGAACTGATACCTAAAATCTAAAAATGATCTCTGTCAGCTCATAAAATAAATTATCACCTCTTAAAACTTAATTCTAAAGCCTTGTGGTATAGTGGAAATGTTATTTATTATTATTATCTTTCCTTAGGCTCCTCATCCAAGCCACAAGTCAGAAAATTACATTTCCTTTCAGAAAAGAAAACAGATTTTTATCCCTGTATTTCATCTCACATTTCTGAAGCAGCTCTACTTAAGATCCAAATCCATCTAGTAAGAAATATTGTAAGAACTAATTAATCATGCTTTTTAATGTAAATAAAAGCCTCTAAGGCAAGCAGGTCCATGGAGTATTTAAATATTAGACCAGCAGACAATACTCACATTATTCTGCTTAAGCACACTTTTAACTGCTAGGAGCATGGTTTTAATTTTCACAATAAGGATGATGTCATGTAAATTGAGATGGGAATCAGATTTTTGGAGCACATGCATTGCATCCAGAGAAAAGCACCAAATGTATTCTTACAAAGGCAATAAGATGAATATGCCATAGAATAAATGAAGAAATAATATTCCAAAAAAAAAATTAAGCAGAATATAGCCAAGGTGTACATAAAAAGTAAAAAATAATGTTTGCCAATGGTCAAGCAGTACTAAGTTCTGAAAATGCAAATATTGCCTGAGGCAATTATTTTCAGTGATTTACCCACTATGCGTACTGCAAATATGCATACACTGCACAGTCCTACATACTGTAAATATAACACATTGCCTTGTGATATTCTGCCTTGTACTTTTCAGCCTGGTTAACATTCTTTCAACTGAAATATCTACAACCACCTTGTGGTTAACATGATTTTTTATGTCCTTTGCTGTTGTTTGTTTCTTTGTGTACCCTGCGGTAGACTGCTGTCCCATTGAGGGTGTAGCTCATTTTGCATCTGATGCTTGCTGCTTGCTCGGACCCCTCCCGCGAGCCTATATTGGATAAGTGGTATAGAAAATGGATGGATAAAAGGATTGATCGATCTTCTTTGAACGTTTCAGTGATCCAAAGTAGTAGATAGTAGAGTGTGACCACAAAAGAGCTTAATCATCCTGTGAGGTGGCCTGCACAGAGGGGTTGAATGAGTGATCACCCAGTATGAGAAAGAGGCGGAACATCGTTGACGATGATGCTAACAATCATTATCTTTTTACCAGACTGTTACCTCCTTTTTTTTTGTTAAAAGCTACCATAAAGCACATTTTATACATATTTTTCTCATCCTCAGTAGTTTGTTTATTTAGTTGAAATTTTCATTTAAAATAAGGAGCTTTTTTGGGGGGGAAAAACATATGTCACGGACGCCGGAAAGGCCAGC